ACCATGTCTACACGCATATGTCCAAATGGTTCACATACATACATGTCTCTGTACATGCATACAGTGGATCACGTGTTCTTACCAATGCAACCGTGAACATGTCAGCCCAAGAAATCCATAAATCTGAACAGCTTTGTTATCGGGTTAAATTTTCTGTTGGACCAATGAACTGCACTCTCCAAATTGATAACTTTAATTATGGTCTGCTCGTCTCTTCTTGGCAGATTCATGCTGACATCTGGAATGGATAAAAAGTTAAAGGTGTATGACATTCGAACCTTCAAGCCCCTCAAGTCCTACTTCCTCCCTGCTGGAGCTTCCTGTTTATCACTGAGCCAGAGAGGGCTGCTGTCTGCAGCCACAGGCGATATTGTTCAGGTCATTATCACCGCCACACTGCACGATTAATGATTTGTAGTTAAAAACACGTCCAGCGAACACACGGTCATGCATTTTAACATTGTAGACGTGGTTTGTTTTAGATGCACACAGCTGGATATGTAAAGAAAATAAAGTATTCTTTAGTGGGGAACATTCTAACTGTAGATAAAGGATATTGAAAAACACATGTCTTGTCTGGACAGTCACACTTTTGTTTTTCGGGAAGTGATATCTATCTATATGATGTCTTGGTTATACATTACAGATCTTTCATACGTAGGTAACCTTTAACCTGTATATCACTGATAACGTGTGTGTAAAATGTCTCTGTGTAGGTGTACAGGGACGTGTGGAACACTCCAGTAACTAAACCCTACATGGCTCACAGGGTCCGGGGAACAGCATGGGGGCTGCAGTTTTGTCCCTTTGAAGACGTCCTCGGGATCGGACACGGAGACGGCTTCACTAGCATGCTCGTACCAGGTTCAACTTGATTTTCACTCACTCACTCACTCACTCACTCACTCACTCACTCACTCACTCACACACACACACACACACACACACACACACACACACACACTGCAATAGATCACACCCACACACTTCAATAAACCAAAGAACAAGGGCGCACCAAATAGGTCATGGTCAAAACATCCATATGACACACACAGTATGTCAGCCCTAAATGATAATCATGGTTTATTTGACTGTACTCAACCAGTCATTTTTTCTGTGTATTAAAACTGTTCTCATTCCATCTCTACCTCTGTTGTCCTCATTTTAAAAATGTTCAGGTGCCGGTGAACCTAACTTTGACGGTTTGGATGCTAACCCATACCGCAGTGTGAAGCAGAGGCAAGAGTGGGAGGTTAAAGCTCTGCTGGAGAAGATCCAGCCAGAGCTCATCAGCCTGAACCCCAATGAACTGGGTCAAGTTGACCACGCCACCTTTCAACAAAGGCACCAGGACAGAGTCACAGCTCTGGTCAGAGTCCAATTTAGATTTTAAGATACAAATCTGTACAGTTTAAAATATCTGTTAATTTTTATTACAGCCTTCTAAATTCCTTGTATTTGTCTTCTCAGGGCTTTGACCCACTTGCCAAAGAAAAATTTGTTCCCAAGTTTAAGAAGAAAGGTCGCAGTTCTACTGGCAGTGTCGAAAAGCGCAAGAAGAAAGTGGCTCACGAGGACCAGAGGGTAAGTAATCCAAAATAAAGATGATGTTTGATTAAACAACAAGGTGATTTTTCACGTGGCTCATCTTTCTCGACTTGTTTGCCCTGCAGGATGTAATCAGGGAAACTGTGGAAGACAAAATGAAGATGGCAAAAGAAAGAAAGGAGAGGAAATCAAAGACGGTGGAATCTTTTGGCCCGAGATCTGCTCTGGACAGATTCAAAAAATAGAAAAGTGGGATCCTTTGTGCCGACCGGACGTCAGTGACATTCTGTGGGAGTGACCTTTTGAACTTCATATAGAGGACACATTATTGGACACATTTCTCCAACAAGTGGCAGAAATTCTGGGTATTGTCTACTAAGAGAAGCTCTATTCAATGTAGTCTGAATCGATTCCTGTCTACATGGGTCGATGTGTCGGGTGCCACGGTGGGCATGTTTGTTGCTTAGAATTTGTTTAAAGTTGTATTTTTTTGTCATCTGATACAATTTTCACTCATTTTTGAGCAAATGTCAAATGTTTTATATTAATGTCCTAAAAATAAACAACATACTGCCAAGCCTTTGGATTCAGTAATCTTTATTATCCCAAGGGGCAATTTGCTGTACAGCCATCAGTCAGTGCATGACAAAAACAGACAATCCACACTATATAAATATCTACGATCAGAGGGAAGCAACACTAACTCTTGAAGCAGTGAATGACTCAAATCGGACAATACTGACTGACTGAAACAAAATGAACAGTAGACTCTGAAAATTTAATATGCTCAAACATTGTCAGCACATTAACACAATGACTCTTCAACAGCTCCTTGGCTGGTGAGCATCATGTCCAAAGCCATCCTATTTCACAGAGCCACATTTCTGAGGCCCTGGACGCTGGTAGAAAGAGATGAAAACCCAACCCCCGCTAAGAGCAATCTCATCCATCCTGTGTCGGTTGTTCACAGTTCCCCAGCATGGGAAAAGTCCTCCAAATCCTTTGAAGACACTCTCACTGTGGAACGCTTATATCTTCATGGCACATAATAGTGAGTGCAATCTGTATGGAAGTAAGTGAGGTTAGGTCTCTCATTGTTGATCTTTCCTCGCAGTTGTCTTCATGGCTGCATACCATGCATTGACATCAGGCTTTGTCTGTCCAAACAAGAGTTTTCCTTTTTTGTTTTGCCTATGATGCTCAGTTTGGTTTGGTGTTGTTCCTCCTGCCAAGGTTTCACATGCCATAGCAATGGTGGCAGGATGATGACGACAGTGAGCAAGAACAGGGAGCACATCTCTTCCCTCAAACTGCATCCCAGTCGTCCCATCAGGTATCACTGTTTGTCTGTCGGTGTCATCGTTTATCAGCAGCTTCACCCTAGCCAACCCCCTAATCAATGTGCCGCTTCTTCTTGAGATTAGAGATGAGATTTCCCATTTGTCCCACGCCAAAATTCTATCAGCCACAAAAATATCCACTTTTTACTTGCCCTTATCTGCAGCACCTGTAAATACAGAAACGCCTTGGACAAGCAGAATGTGCTTTGCTGCAGCTTTTGTGAAACTGAGTTAGGATCTTCCGTATGTGCTTCACATTGGTAGATAACAATCAGTTTGGATAACACCACAGCATCAATCAGAGCAGCAACCCTTGTATGGTAGGTAATGGTTTTGAGAATTTTCCTTTAGCCCAAAATCTGCCAAAATCATGTGCCACTCCCAATGCATACCTCCTACCAGTGTATATATTGATGTAACAGAGGTCATGTGGTTATTATTCCACTTTCCACAATTTGTTTATTTTATGGTTGGGTAATTTAGCTCAAAGGCGCCCTCCTCCAGAGTGCCGTACGTTGCGTCATTACGCACTCCTGGAAGGAGAATCAGACCCATGAACAGAAGAGAGAAGCCAAGGAAGGAGGGTGGCTGCGTTGGATGTCGACACACCGAAACTGTCTTGGACATTTTACCATTTTTGTCACTCATTCTCATTCCAGTGTATGTCTGACAATGATAAAGTCTAATCAGGAAGGAGCTCAACAGTCCTAATTGCATTTATCACTTTAGAAAGTCTTTTGTGATTTACCTTTAAACGTCTGTTTAAATCAACATTAGGATCAGATGTCTTTTCCCATCCAATAACCCCTTTTGGTCCAAAGTTTCAAAACTTTCAATACAAATTTTTCTTCCATAAGTAGAACATGGGGATCAGAATTTGATACCCTAAACAACTTTTGCCGGTGAGTCAATCTAAGCTACTGAGACAACACAGTGATTACTGTTCCAGTATAACCAGCCAAACCTATCCTTGTCTTTAATCTAACTTTCTCTATCACATTCTTAACCTACTTACTCTAACCTTCTCTACCATTCTTCGTGTTCTCATAACATCTGTGATTACATCTGAGTGAGTGCCTCTGCATCTCACAAGAGAGTGTTATTTACAGAGGTAAGGGAAGAGTTCGGAATCTTCCATTAATATACATATATCAAATCTTCTTTTCTATACTTAACAAACTCTGATGTTCTTGGGACTCTAGTTACTCTAGTTATCCCTTCTGTTTTTGAAATCAGCATAATACTCAATAAACACATTAAATCTCTACCAATACAATCTATCAGCCAGCGTGGCGACAACAAAAATTAATGTTTAAAATTAAACCTAATCATGACAATGGTACAGTGTATCTCTCTATCACTGTCTTACATGTTGCTTCACTTGTTTGAACTCATTTTTGAACTCGCATTTGTTTATATGCATCATGTGAAAACTTAACAAAACTCAGTGAGCCACTTTTTTCTGACCTTTTGGCAAAGCTCACAGTGAACAATAGCCTTCTTAATCATCTGCTCTGTGTCTGACAGTAATTCACATGGTGTGCGTGTAATCCTGTTCGCCAATACAGATTTTTTTTTGGTCACCAGGCGGCATAGGTTCAAAGGTTCCTCATACCTGCTCTGATGGGTTGGGAGACAGGTTTTACTCCACCTCTGGAATTTGGTCGGATGAGAAGCATTTCGAATATCTGATGCTCCTTCACTCCAGGTTTCTCTTCTTGCTATACCACCAGTTCGTGCTCATTGTTTTTAGTTAACACAGAACTGATCTCGGTTTCAAAGAGACTTAATTACAGAAATGTTTAGTTTGACGGTGACTCACTCTGTGACTCGCTGATGTTAACGAGAAAGAATGTGATAGACAAGTCAAATCAGGAAGTGATGAGTGTTCAAGTGCACATCAAGTTTGTGATCAAATTACCTGGAACCTGTTTGGGCTCATGTTAGTTTCCTTGTCATGATGAAACTATTCTGTCAATTGAGTTTCATTTGTTACAGAGAAAAAGACAATGCAATTTGATAGAAATGATGAGTTTTGAAAAAGCAGTATGTATTATGTGGATTTATCTTCTGAAAAAGACACCAGGCAACACTAGGTTCAGATACAGAGGTTTATTTGTGACAGTAGTGGACTCGTACCTATATTTCCTGAGTGTAAACACACTGACCTCCACGTTTACAGGAGGAACACTTAACACTTTAACATATTGCAAACTTTAAAAATCTATTCATCATCCCATACTGACCGATAGCAGAGACTAAACGTCAGTCTAGACACAACAGCACAAAACTCTCATTCGCACTTGACTTCATGTTCGATTTCACCATTACAGACAAGAGGTTCAAATACTGAAATCATATTTTGTGGCATTTCATAGCGTTTAGAAGTATCATATAATCTTCACTGTTGTTTTTGGTGCAGCAGAATTACTGAGCCAAAATGTCTCCAACAGACCAATTAATGCCCCGTCGATGCACGTACCTTCCTACATATGCATTTTGTGAGTTCACCTGCACTGTTTTTTGGAGACATGCATTTAAGCATCTTATTAGACTATCATATACAATTTAAGCACCTGGTGATAAACTACATATATGACAGCAGCAGCTATTAGATGTCAGAGCTTATATGGCAAAAGAAGTACTTCCTGGCTATACACTATCAGCATGCCAACATCATTTGTTCTACATCTACAGTACGTGTCAATGTAATGTAATGCAGGATGCTGTAAGTTTCGGGAGGTTTTTAAAGGTGAGATTCTTCACACTACCAGCTGATAGTCTCCTTTTCTGCAAAAAAGCCTGTTAAATAGTTTTTAAAAAAATAAAGCTATAAAAATAAACTGCCATTTTCTCAGCGCACACGTGGTGCAGTTTCACATTCTGAAGAGCACCTGCGTTGTTCACAGCATTGAAGCGAGGCACAGCCCCACTGTTTCCTGTTCCATGCTTAAATAAACCTCACAACCCCTGCTCTAATCCCAGAGCCGACCCAAGCATCGCCCTGACTTTGCACATCCCCAGTGAAGCATGAAGACTCAGCCAAGAGCAGGGAGGAGAAGAGTGAACATCGGCCCAGAGGTGCAGCATCTCCCTGGGTGGTATGTGGTGGATGGACACCATGGCCTGGTAACAGCAGCGCCCATAGGGAACGCCTGGACCACCAGAGAAGAGTGGGCAGTGTGACGGCAGCACGCCAGCAGCCCGGGCACATAGACCCACAAACACATCCTCAGGGGGGAGAGGTGTGGATAAAGGTGAAGCAGAGGCTGCCAGGGAGATTTTGAGCAATGCAGAGCGTGATAGAATGTAGGCCGTGCCACTGCAATAGTCTGGGAAGACAGAGGGAGGGTAGGCTCCTGAAGGGAGGTAGTGCTTGCTGTCTGGATCACGGTCTGGAGCCACATGGAGATGCACCCTGCCAAGGTAGAGGTCTCCTTGTTCATAGGGGTTACGGCTCTTGTTCAGGAAGTGCAGAAGGGCGCTGGGATTGAAGAGAACATCATCGTCCACTTTGGCCATGAAGTGGGCCTGAGGGCAGAATCTGCGGGCCCAGCCCAGCATGGACAGGGTCTTCAAGGTGAGGTTGGAATAGGTGTCCAAAAACCGCCCCTGGACCAGATCCCCTCGCTCCCGGGCCTCCTCTATCAGCAGCTTGGCCAGTCCCGGGCCAGACGCAACGCCCACCATGAAAAGGGTCATGACCCGCAGGCCCCTCACCTCCACCTCTCCTCCCCAGGTGTCTCGGATGGCCTGGCGGGCCCTTTGGTTGGCGGGGGCCGTGGTGACCATAGTGATGAGGTAAGGCTTGGCACGCTGGCACACGAGCGGGCTGGGCATGAGCAGGAATTCCTCGGGTCTGGTGGGGGGGACGCTCTGCGGGGGGATGATGCCGACGTGCGGCTCCACCACGCTGTTCATGCTCATGGAGGTGACCCATGACTCAATGAGGTCCACGAAGAGCAGGGCCAGCAGCGCCGCGCACACCGCCGCAGCGCACAAATAAGGCAGAACACCGAACTTGCTCCCTCGCTTCCCGAGCCGGGGTTTACACCCCCAGAGTCCCCGTCCCACCATGACCGACCTCAGCTCTGGAGAAAGCGATGGCTGCTGCAGCTCCCCCCGTCTCCCCCTTGTCTTCCCTCCCTAGAAGCAATTGCCTTTCATTGCGTAATTGCGCGTCTCCTCCGCTCTCGGTGTCTTTGCTCACGGGTGCAGATGATAGACAGTATCCAGAGCAGCAGCAGGAGACAGAGATTCAGTAAAAAAAGTACCTTCTCTTGTGTTGATGCCGCAGCTCAGTCAGTTTTCACAGAGCTGCAAGAGCCTGCATCTGCGCAAAGGAGACGCTCGACAACAGCCCGGAGCTGCTCTGGCTCTTTACTCCACCCTACTGTGTTGAAACGCGTCCTGATGCCCCTCTCTGATGATGCGATGGCTTTTTTGCTTGTGAGGTGCAGCTTTTTATTTTCCGGTCTCTGGTCTGCGTGTATAGCCTGACCCACGACCGGATGCGAACAATGCAGCCCGGCACACAGATTTAATGTGACATGCAGACTTCTATTGAATGCACAATAAAAAATGATGCATGAAGGTTTTTACATGTGCGTGTACTGTACTGAAGAGTCACTAGTTTAGTAAATAGATCACATGTTATTTTTTATTCTATCATTAAAAGGCTGCACCAACCCCCTCATCCCGATGATAGCTGCAATGTGCGAGTTCTTGTGGAAGCATCTCTTCTATCGGACGGAGACACAGTAACCGAATGATGCAATCTGGGTCCATTAATAATATCAAACCCTGAGGAGAAAAACTTGTGACGTCTACGACCGAGAAAATATCTGACCAACAGTTCTCTTGTCAGGCTTCACCCTGTGTTAGCAGGCCGGCTGGAGCCCCTCTACCCTGCATGCGCTAAACTGTGGGGCTGACAACAGGGAGCATCACAGTATACTGCAAATATTGGATTAAGTACGAATGTATTATATATAATAATAATAACAACAATAATAATAATAATGATAACAATAATGATAATAATGGTAATAATAATGATAATAATAATAACAATAATAATAATAATAAGTCGTTCGTTCCCCTGTCACCGCATCAGGTGGTGCATGTCGACACCTGCTGGTCATTTAGTAGTAATGCATGTTTTCTGTCAACTTAAATATACTGCATGTACAGTACACCATCACCACTATCTATCTATCTATCTATCTATCTATCTATCTATCTATCTATCTATCTATCTATCTATCTATCTATCTATCCATGCAGAGATGCATGATGGGAAGACTCAGACAGAAACTGCCTTCAACTACCTACATTCAATAAGCATTTCAGTGCAGATTTTTAACTAATGTGGCAAGTGTCTCTATCATGGTTTCTATAATAAGTGTTTTTAAGACCGACTTTTTTCCGGTGGGTTTTAGGGTTTATCACAGTTTTTTATTGATTGTGACAGAGTAAGTCAGTGATTACAGACACAGTAAACAGCAAATAAATTATTAATAGTTAAAGGTAAAACCATTGTATTTGAAGAAATAGTACTACATGTTAAACTTGACCAGGGACTGAACAATAAATTCTTATCAGACTTATTATTTCCATCATTGTCCCTGCTCTATACTCAGTGCACCAACATCAACAAGATAGCATGACGCATCCAATATTATAACATTATTTTGGCTTGTCACCATGAAAAATGCATCTGGGGCCTCACTCGAAAGAGACAGTTTCACTCTGAACTTTTCATTTAGTTCCTTTGACTGATTAAAGTCAAAAGAGGCTAAAACGTTATTATTTCTCGAAAGAATGAAAAAATCTTTCCAGAATCCAAAAAAAGAAATCAAAGGTATGTCAGAGCTTTGTTTTTTGTTTTCTTTCCTCTCTCATTACTCATGAACACTGCGTGAAAAGTGAGATTTCATCAGTACAGCACTGTAAATTTCTGTGGAAGTGCAGGTTAATGAATGTTCACAAGAATTTGATCCATCAGTATTAACAATGTCAGATATATACATACAAGTACAATCTTCTGATTAAACTTGTGTTCTGGGGATATATAGAGTGTTTTTTAAAGCACCGGACATCCTATTCTCTTTGTACGGAAGAGGATTAGGGCCACTGTGGAAATACTTCTGACTTTAAACTCAGAATTCTGAGAAAAAAGTCAGAATTCTGAGTTTAAAGTCAGAACTTACTTTTTTTTCCACAGTGGCCCTAATCCTCTTCTGTATGTTTGCACTTGTTCTGACTGTATTTAATTTTATTCTGTATTTTACATCTACAGAAGTATGTTATGTTTAATCAGGGTTATGTGTATTTTTTTCTTGTTATGTGTTAAACAGATTATTTTATCATCTCAGTTACAAAAGGGTTTCTGTGGAATAAGGGGGACATGACATTATATACACCATGATACAATATGAATGTGTTTCACTGCCTCATTTATAGCTCTTATTTCTAAAGTCATATCTAGTCTGGGTTATAACCTCACGTCTTTTTACGACTGCAACTATGAATCAGGTTATTTGGATTATTGATTAATCGGCTGCTCGTGTTCTTGATTATCTGATTATCAGTTGTTTTGTGTTGAAACGTTGTGAGGAGCTTCCACCACCGTCTTCACTCTCACACTGCTGCGAGGTTGTATTCAGTAAATCATCGGAATATTTCCACCTCCCGCTGTTTGTATATATATATAATCAACGATTGTTGTTTTGGTCATTTTATAATCTATTACCACAAAGTCACCAGACATGATGACGTCAGTGGTGTCTGGCTCGCGCGGAGAGGGCCGGGGGAGGAGGGGGAGGGGGCGCACGGGGACGCGGGAGAAGAAGAAGAAGAGGAAGAAGTAAAAAAAAAAAAAAAAAAAAAAAAAAAACCTGAGCCATCATCCCGGAGCTGGCGGAGCGGGGTCACGAACTATGACCTTTAACAGAAGAAAACCAAAACAAACATTTTATAAAATAGAGGAACGTCCTAAATTCGCGGCCGCCGTCCCCCGGAGGTAAGTCTCAGTGCCGGGCTGAAAAGCGCACAAAGCCCTCGGAGATACTGGATCATAAAACAGCGCAGCTAATCTCCCGGTTAGCTTGTTAGCTATAGCCGCTGCGGAGCTCCCCTTCCTGCCCCCGTCTCCGGCAACTCGGGACCCGGGCATGGAAGCTGGGCTCAGCACGGCCCACTCGGGTGTCCTTTACAGACAGTTAATGTGATTATTAACTTGTGGCAGATTAGCATTAGCGCTAATCCCGGTGTGACAACGGGTGAGCCGGGTAGAGTCGGCTCCTGGCGCAGGTTAACTGTATGAAGCTAACGTTAGCTAACGCAGCTAGCAGGGGGAAAAGATGGAGCTGCTGCAGATGAACTCGACCCTTTTACCTTTGCCACAGGACGGGGACAGGACAGGCTGGAGACAACCGGGACTTTTATTTACCCGAGCTGTATTTTTTTTAATGTACCAGCAGCACATTAAGAGTCGTGCACTGCAATGTCTGTAATGAAAATGTCACTAATATATATTTATCATAACGATTCGTCTCCTGTGTTATTGGCTGCCTGCCACGTTCTCCATTTTGTTCCGTGCTGTGTGTGATGCGTTTGGGGAAGGTGGCTATTTTGATGGACATTGTGTTTGAACCAATCAGTGAACAAGATGAAGTAGCAAGCTGCGTCCCTCTGCAGGCACATGAGTCACTAATGCTGCCAGTGTTATTATGAACAACAAACCTGGAGGGTGACAGGAGGCAATCGATAGAAAGGGAAAGTGTGACTGAAAAGATTTGATGATTATCTGATTAGGTGAGCCACAGAATAAACACTCATACAAAGTCATACAAGGATGCTTTTCTTTGACACATGTTTAAACCTGTACACTTCAACCAATTATCAATCACATTTTATTTGTATAGCCCATATTTACAAATCCCAAATTTGTCTCATGGTGCTTAAGGTGCGACCTCCTCTGTCCGTAACCCTCCACAAGATTAAGGAAAAACTAACAATAAACTTGGAAACCTCAGAGAGAGCCACATGTTAGGAACCTCTCTCCCAGGACGGTCAGGAGTGCAATAGATGCTGCAGTTTTTACAACATTGATTAGAAGAAACAGTTTGTAACATAATAAAAAAAAATGTGTCAATGTATTTGTACATAAGAAAGTGTCAGATACGAAGGGAGCAGCAATGACCTGAATTGAGGAGATATGGTCTGTAAGGATAATGTGATTGGGTGTACTGATGTCAAGCAGTACGGTGGATACTACTTTCTTTGCCCTTTTTAAATATTAAAAAAATCAATCATTCATTCATTCAAATAATCAGCAGACTAATGTCAATAATTGTCAGCTGCCACCCTAGATGCTGTCTACAAAGTAAGATGCCAAAACACAGTGTGGTGATATGTGGTTGATGGACAGGTTTTCTAATTCTTGGAAAATGGCGTGGGTGTACACCTGTGTCCTAAAGTTTGGGCAAATTGTGATGTTTTGCGACAGGACCTGAGCAAAGACCCATCAAAGACTCTGAAGAAGGAGAAATTAAAAAGGTTTAATTAGAACCTCAACATTCAGAAATATTTGTTCAAAAACATTTAGTTTATGATGTATTTCTTCTAACACACTATCCAGTGGCTTGGGAGCAAAAATATATATTTTTTGGCAATTCAATGTTGTAATTACTAATAATGCTGCTATTTTTATATTGTGGATAATATACTGTTCAGATAAATATGAAACATTTCTCTATGACCTACATTAAAAGACATATGACCAGTCAAACCCCTCGAAAAGTTCAAGTTTGTTTGCCCATATCTCCACTAATTAGGATCCAAGACAAATACAAACTCAGTTTTTCATATCACTAAATCAGCACGCCATCTTTCATTAAGATCTGTGTCAGTGCGGCCTAAAAGTTGGATGATTTGACACAGAACAACCCAAGACAGAGTTTTCTGATCCCAGTATTCTGGTTAAGAGAAATCTTAATTGTGTTGGCTCATTCTGTATAAAATATAAAACATTTTTACTTTATTATAAGCATGAAGTGACGTGTAGAAGAGCTGACTTGGTTTGTTGCCGGTTTCCTAGAAAGTGGAAGCAGAGGGAGTGGGGAAAGCAGCTGTGGTGTGAGATGTAGTGCTTATAAAAGATGAGTGTGGTGCAGCTTGGTTGTCAGTGTTTCCCTTCCTCAGTTAAACATAAATCTCATGTTCAGGTCACACTCGGAGGTCATTCAGCTTGTGATGATTATCTCTGGTGTCATGTCAAGACTGGATTCGTCGCACACATTTTGTCTAAGGTTTCTGTTCTTGTAGAATGGAATTGGAAAATGTAGATATATATTTTTGGTCACAATACATCCTCTCTATGATATTCCAGAATTAACATTATTTTTCTGAAAACGTCCCAGCGGAATCCTGCTCCTCTGTGTTGGTTTTGCCCCTTTGTGGTTGATTAATGTCTGTGGCGTCTTTCCAAACAGACCTCACTAATGACCTTACATCATCATGACAACGAGCCTGAATCTGCTCTCTCAGCAGAAAGTGGATTCTGAGCACGAGGCAGAGGTGAGTGTGCAGAAGGACAGTGGCTGTGAGTCTGATCTGCTCCATATAAACCATGAAGGGTATTTTTAAATTTAAAAAATGGCTATGTGGTTAGTAAATCCTGATTCAAATTTTCCCACTGAGGCATACATTCTCTTAAAATGATGTGTTTTATAATAATGTTTTCATGCTTTACACGCAGTCAAGTGAAATATATTTGTGTTGCATACATACTGATTATAATTTGCATGTGTATACCGTAGTTAAAATGTTTTGTAAATCGTAGGCGTCATCCTCTCCATCAGACTCAGTGATGAGTGAGTCTCCGCAGCGCTTTCAGGTCATCTCCACTGAGCCTGCCACAACACCACAGCGAATACAGGTAACTGCTGCCTCTGCAGATGGCATCAGATAATGTGACACTTCTCCTTCCTGTTGACGTTCTATTTCAGTGTATTAGCAGCAGCAGTGATCAAGTTGATGCTACAACATGTAACTCAGCTCTCCTGTCTTCACTGTAATTGTTTTTCCCCTCAACCCCACTGGTGTTTTCTCATTTCCACCTTCCTCTCTTTCTGTCTCCTTCCTCCATCCTGACCAGATTGTAACTGACCAGCAGACAGGTCAGAAGATCCAGATAGTAACAGCGATGAACCCGTCCAATGCTACCAAGCAGCAGTTCATTCTCACTACGGCTGACAGCTCAGGGGCGGGCAAGGTTATCCTGGCCTCATCAGACAGCCACAACACTAAGCAGCTCATCATCACTTCTGCAGACAACCTGATGCCAGGAAGAATACAGGTGCAGTTGTGCCCATAATATCAGCCCCTGGTTTGTGACAATTCTATTTGCAATATCTTGGTCTTGAAGTAATGATAAGATTGAAGACAAAAGTATAATCAAATAAAATAATGAAGTGATGACATTTAACATCCAAATGGTCAAACGCCAAATTCACTATGATGTCATAATCTTCTGCAAAAACACAGACATTTTTAGAACTGGTTACAGACATTAAAGAGAAATGCAAACTTAACAGCCTGTGTTAAGCCTGTGACTTTTTTTTCAGATTGTCACAGATCCAGTGTCAATGGAACGGTTGTTAGGGCAGTCGGGGGACTTGAGCCGATCACAGCCAGTAGAGTACTGTGTGGTGTGTGGGGACAAGGCTTCAGGTACGAAAGCTTACATGTGCATTATGTGGAAATGTTATGTTCTGTATGTATTTTAACTGATGCCTCCTGATCCTAATATATGTAGCTTCGTTGTGTCTGTAATTTCACCCATGCTCGGACACTTTAAACCAGTTTTCTCTGTGTTCAGGGCGTCACTATGGAGCCGTCAGTTGTGAGGGATGTAAAGGCTTCTTCAAGAGGAGTGTGAGGAAGAACTTGACCTACAGCTGCCGCAGCAAACAGGACTGCATCATCAACAAACACCACCGCAATCGCTGCCAGTTCTGTCGGTTGAGCAAATGCCTTAAGATGGGGATGAAGACTGACTGTGAGTTTGCAACCCAATCCATGACATGACTCAGTTCTCTCATAAAAATAGCTCAAATGTCTCAAAAGCTATTAAAAAGCCTCAAATTATGTAACATTACATTACATATTATTTAGCTGTAGTGCATTCAACCTTGAGGGTACAAACCCAGAACAACAAAATACTTCTGCTTCAAAAAAGCCAAACTACAAAGTGCTACATGTAAGTGCAATATAAAAGTCCAACTAACTTTTTTTTTTTGAGAGTTGGGTTATCAGACCATCATGTTGTATGTCTACAAACGTCTTGAATATTTTGTCTTTCCTGGAGAGTACACAGTAACATTTATTAATACTCTTCACACCTCAGCATCAGCGACAGACATAGCTGGGGGCTTTATGTTTGTGAGTTGTCCTATTTCTGCCACAGAAAGGTCATGTTAGTTGAGTCATACTTTAACTTGGAATAGTCAAATATGTCTTACCTCTGAGATCAATAAATTACTGATCACTATTATTATTATTATACCCAGTCACTTACAACAGTTAGAAAAAAAGTCATTCGTATTTGTCTGTTCCGGACTCTTCAGCTGTTCAGAGTGAGAGAAAACCCATCGATGTAGTGCCCAGAGAGAAACATGCCAACTGTGCTGCCTCCACCCAGAAGATCTACATTCGTAAGGACCTTAACAGTCCGCTCATCGCCACGCCAACCTTTATCTCAGATACAGAGACAGATGGCTCCAGGTCAGTTGGAATCAGGATGACAGACGGATGTTTTGTTCTATTTCTCAGCTGTTTAATGTGACGTGAACTGGATTGTGATAATGCTCTGTGTCATGTGCAGATCCAGCCTGCTGGACCAGGGGATGCTGGTTAACATCCAGCAGCCTGTCATCCAAAGTGATGGCACTTTGCTGCTGGCCACTGACTCAAAGGTACAGACGTCTCTGCAGATACAGTCAAAGTAATGTCTGTCTCCTTCTGAAGTGTGTAAAATATATACCACAAATAAGTTTTGACCAAAATGCTGTATGCTAGATTAGTTTTTATAGCTGATAAAACAGTAGATTTCCTCTTTGTTTAGCTCCTTTGTGTGTTTTAAAGAGCATTAAGTTTTTCTTTTCAATTTTGTGTCATGACCTTGGCTTATATGATGTAATCTGCATTGGCTCTGTTCCTCAGATGGAGTCTGGGCAGGGGGACTTGGGAACACTAGCTAATGTGGTGACATCATTGGCCAACCTGAGCGACTCATTGAAAGAAAATCTAAACAATGGTGACACCTCAGACAGTCAACAAGAGGAGCAATCTGCCAGCGAGATAACACGGTCAGTCAGCAGAACACACAGAAATTACGTGTCCTGAATTTTTGCTCAGCTTTGAAAGAAGTGATGTGTGTGTGTGAGAAGAAAACATATTTATGTTGACAACCTTTCTGTAAAATCAGTGAACTGAAATGTGTGTGTGTGTTTGTGTGTGTTGTACAAAGTGCCTTTGACACCCTGGCCAAAGTCTTCAACCCACCTGAAATACGGGTCGGACATAGTCTGACAGAGAAATCGCAGTGTGTCGGTGGAACAACAATCCAGCTGATTGGTCGAGACCAGGAGACCCCCATCATTGAGGTGGAGGGACCACTGCTCACTGACAGCCATGTTGGCTTCAAGGTGGGTGCGGTCAACTGATGCTCAAAGCTAATGGTCAAAATAACTAAGTCTTTATTCATGTGGCTATATTTTTAAAGAGGAACGTAACCAATGTGTATGTCTGTAAATGATGTGTGTACATTGGCATATTGTTGTTCAATAGTAGTCAAGTTGTAGACATTACAGTTACACATGCATGTATGCTTCTTGTCTTTTTCATCATCTATCTATTTCATCTATCAGTTATTTAAAAAAATATTTTTAAACAATTTGTCCCTTAATGCTCTCATTCCTCATCCTTCCTCCAGCTGAGCATGCCCAGCCCAATGCCAGAGTATCTGAACGTACACTACATCTGTGAATCGGCATCCAGGCTTCTCTTTCTATCCATGCACTGGGCACGCTCCATCCCTGCCTTCTCAGCTCTTGGGTAAGAATAGATTTAACACATCAAGACTCTGGAAATAACACAACAAGATTCAATCTATTTACAGTGTATAAAGTTGAGACGGTCTCAGGAAATGATCCGTGAGCTCACACCCACATTTCTCTGGCTTTTTCTTTTTCAGTCAGGAGGCAAACACCAGTCTGGTGCGATCCTGCTGGAATGAGCTGTTCACTCTGGGTCTTGCTCAGTGCGCTCACGTGATGAACTTGTCGACCATCCTCACTGCCATCATCAACCACCTTCAGAGCAGCATCCAGGATGGTATGGACCACAGGCCTCGTCAGCACTTCACAGTAGGACATAAACAGGAGAGAAGAAATGTTGTTACATGTTACTTTAACAAAGAAAGTCCTGAAGGATTGAGACATGTCCAGCTTGTTGATTAGATAATGATGAAAGTTTAAGATAGTACATGTTTTAACACCATGTTGGTACATGCCCCAGATTTTGTTTTTTTTGTGTCAATTCTGCATCTTCCCAACTACTGACATGATGAGTTATGGGGAATTGCAACTTCTGACAATGATGACATGTGTTTGTTGTTGTGACAGTTCTTGTTATATGAAGCTCAAACTACTTCAAGGAAATCATGAATGTTGATACATCAAACCAGACATCTTCTTCCGTCTCAGACAAACTTTCAGGGGACAGGGTGAAGCAGGTGATGGAGCATATTTGGAAGTTCCAGGAGTTCTGTAACAGCATGACGAGATTGGAGACCGACAGCTATGAATACGCCTACCTGAAGGCTATAGTGTTGTTCAGCCCTGGTGAGTCTAAGTATCTTATTTATAACAGACACTATTGCTGTGATTGGTGACATCCGGTTTAAGAATGCCTTAAAGAAGAGAATGAAACTTTAATAAACTGTATTTTGTATTTTGGGGAATGACAGTAGTGTGTTTGTCTCATCAGATCACCCAGGTGTGGACAGCAGTGGGCAGATTGAGAAGTTCCAGGAGAAAGCACTGATGGAGTTGCAGGACTATGTGCAGAAAACGTATCCTGATGACATGTACAGGTACATTCATAACTGCAGCCTTTCAGCACAACCTCCTCACAGCAGCTTAAAGCAGTAACACAGTGAATTGCATTAGACCATCTTGCATTTAAGTTAGAAAGTAATTTCACAGTATAAGGAGTAAAATTATTGCAACAACTACCTAATTTATTACTAACAGCCTAACTGGCAGATAAACCACTTTTGGTTTTGGCTGTTTTACTGGATAGTAAGCACTTAGACTCTGTATGTCACAGATTAACACTTCTAATAGTTTTTATAGACATATGCCAATGTTTCACTTATTCTTTGCTCAACGTTTGTTGTCGTAGCTGCGGTCTCATGTTTATCTACCTGGCAAATTGTCATTCATAACATCAGTTATGTTCTCGTGTAATGTGTTGGTATTAAAAAAAGCACAGTAAGTAAGCACAGAATGTAAGAATGACAGGAAGTGTTGTGTCTTTGCCTTCTCAGGATGACCCGTATCCTGACTCGTCTCCCCGCCCTGCGCCTCATGAATTCAAGTATCACAGAGGAGCTCTTCTTCACTGGCTTGATAGGTAACGTCTCAATTGACAGCATAATTCCGTACATCCTTAAGATGGAGACGGCTGAATATAACAGCCAGGACTCTGATGCCACAGAATAACATCCCACCACTTCAAGACCCAGATCTGTCAATGTAAACATGGTACTCTCTTTGTCTCCCAGAGGGTTTATTTTTGAACCTCGATCTAAAATGCTGCAGCAGCTCCTTGTTTTCTAATGATGCAAAGTGCAAAGTCATTCAGGATCCCTGGTAGATTAGACAATCTGGCACTGGAGAGCCTGGATGACACCTGGATTATTCTCTGGAGCAGACACTGTGTTGCAATCTTGAGTTTCTGACCTAAATTCAGCCACACTGAATTAGATTAAAAAGAAATTCTCCTCAGCTGCAGCTGAGCTTATTTTTTGCAACGTCTTTATAGCACTTAAAGCTTGTTACCTATGAACTTAACCCTCTGACCTAAGCATTTCAATTTGTTTTAGTCTTCCCTAAGCCTTACTATGCTTTCATGATTATTGCATAAATCATTTGCTGATATGAGGTGAGATAAATAAAGAAACAGTCCAGAATCTAAAGATCTGAGATGGAATTTGACATCTAGAATTGGATTTTCATGTGTTTAAAAACACAAATGTCAAAGATTATCGTAAATGGGACTATTTTCTTTTAAAATGTGCTTTAAAGTATTTATTTATTTTTGCTTTTCTTTCTCGTGTATAATTGTGCTTTTTAATTGAGAGTTCAGACTTAATAAGATTAAGTGTGACATATTTTATTTTTTCTTCTCTTTTTTTGAAAGAGACAGAATTGACACGAATGAACAGATCTTTACTTTAAGAAAAATTTAAATAATCATTTATCATAATCATAATAATTTTAATCAGTTATATGAGGTAACTCACACCTCAATCATTACTTTGCAAAGTATTCATATGCAGTGGCCATCACAACATTGAGCTACCACATAGCTCAGTACAATGTGACCAGTGATTTTATTTTGTCTTTCAGTTTGAATTTACATTCTGAAAACCACAAATTCGCAGATTAAATTCACCACATGTCCTGTATTTACATAGAATGACATCTTAGAGTTTAGGTTTGAGAGAGTTGTTATGTTAAGGTACATGATTATGTTTCTTAAACTTTCTTTTCTAAGCCGTGCAATCACCTCATTGCTTGTCCTTCTACGACAATCATACGTGTTGTTTCCTTCTGATGCATCAGTGTCACAACTGTTCCTCTCAATCTACATTTTATATGTGTATTTATCAGTGGCAATTATTTCTTTTACAGAATTGTTTTAAAATGTTTGGTTCAGAAATGTTTAGTGTTGCTATGCTGCTTTTCTGTTTTCTGCTAAGTGCACATTAATCAGATTATGAGGCGTTCCACTGCTTTCATGCTGACTAAAACTTTGTGTTCTCTATGTTTTCTAAAGAATTGTATTTGTTTTAAACAAATTTGCTTCTTGCATACTAAGTGTACTTAAAGTACTTTTGGGCAGGTTTCCCTGGTTAAAAAAAAAAAAAGAAGAAAAATAGTGAAAATATCTTCTGGGAAGCCAGTCTCCTGTGTCAGTGTGTCCCTTGCATCGCCTGGGGAGAGAACATCTTTGGCACTGTCACCAGTTAACTTTGATCTTAGTTTTAGAAGGATTTATTGCACTTGTTGGAAAGTTTTTATTGTACTCATTATAAAAAATTGTCAAAATGTGACAGAAGAGAAATGTGACTCTCAATGAGCTACAATTATGCGAGTGCACTTAAATTAGGTACAATAAATAATTTGAATATTTCATATATTAGATTTTTGAAAGAATTTTCTCTCTTTTGTTGGGCCGGTCTGCCCTCCCAAGGCAATGGTATGGGAAACACTGAATGTCTTGAGGACAATTTGGAAACATGCAATGGTTTACCCACTTGTATAATGGTTCAGAAGAAAGATCCACAGCAACATGAATGATGATGGGGATATAAAGAAGTTAGCAATTATTATGTCTTGTGAAGTTAATGTCGGTTGTAATGTCAGTTGTAATAATCGGGTTTAAAACCTATTCAGACTGTTTGTAAAGACACTGGCGTGAAATGACCTTTTTTCATGTAATTTCATTAAAATGAGTGCATGTTGTTTTTAAGCGGGGTTTTATAATGTTGTGGCTAATTGCCCTAACACGGAGCATCGTTATGATTTTTTATAGTGCTTTGCAGTGCATGACAAAATTGCTTAAGTGCATTTTATAAAATGCTGTATAAGAAATATTGATTTAAATGTTGTGGCTTTAAAGTGTCAACCATGAGCAGCTCCCACATTAGAGGGTATTAGAGCATTTCCCCCCCCTTAGTGGATTGAGTATCCCATGGTTAAAATTTTATACTATTTTAAATGTCGTTTTTTTTGCTCATGTAAAATGTGTGTCTTCAAACAAGAGATTGTGAAAGTCAAATATTCATGTTTTCTTCACAACACTACATTTCTACCTCACACCAATGCAGATGTAAGACAAAATGTATTAACGACTGAGTTCCTGTATCAGCATTCCAGTCTCTGGGGCCGGCTTCTCTGAAGCCACGTATTATAAAAAGAATTAAACAATTATTCATCAAACACAACAAGACTGAGTATGTTCATGATCCCTGAGTGTTATTGTATCTGCAGCTACTCATTTTTTAAATGTGCTTTTTGTAACAATATTTTATGTCATTGAGGTGTTTTATTTTTATACAGTTCCGTTGATTTGAGATAATGTCCCCCTGTGGCAAGCAATTAAATATAACATTGATTAAAATACAGATTGATTTAAATCAAATAAAAAATATAACTTCTTGACCGTTCTGTCAAAGCTTCTGATGTGACGTCATCAAACCGCGCCCGTGTGTCCGGTACACGCTCCTGGAAGAGGCCGACGTCAGAGTGTGATTAAATAATAGGCTCGTATATAAATGGTTCGAGATGCCGATGAAGGGAAGGTTTCCGATCAGGAGGACGCTGGAGTATCTGCAGAAAGGCGACATCATCTTTAAGAACCGGGTGAAGATCATGACGGTGAATTACAACACACACGGGGAGCTGAGCGACGGAGCAAGGTCAGAGCTAACGGCTAACTGCTAGCACGACAGTGTGTGTGTGTGTGTGTGTGTGTGTGTGTGTGTGTGTGTGAGTGTAAAAGAGGAAAACATAATAACATGTTATAATTTCTAAAGAGAAACCAAGTAAATACAACCCCTGCTCACACAGATACTTTTATTTTAACGCGCTGTCACTTCCATTAACTTGATTAAAAATAGAAGATGAACACAGTTGTTGTGATGAGGATCATGGAGAAATGAAACTAGTGTAAAAGTTAAAGCTTTGTGTTTAAGTTTGATTTCAAAACTACATGTGATATTTTTTTGTTTTGCAGGAAGTTTGTGTTCTTCAATATCCCTCAGATTCAGTACAAAAACCCATGGGTCCAAATAATGATGTTCAAAAATATGACTCCATCACCGTTCTTGAAGTTCTACCTGGGTTTGTAGCTGTGCAGTTTTCTTTACTCTGTATTATAGCAATCATAATAATAACAGTAACCATTATACCTGTGTAATTCCATTAAAGTGGGCTCATCTCTTGTCTCTTACAGATGATGGGGAGCAAGTGCTGGTGGATGTGGAAGGGAGGGACCGGAAACTCATTTCACAACACGTTAAGAAGATTGTGGGCAAATCAGAGTAAGATCTTCAGATTTATTTCTACATATGGTCCTTGTCTCATGACACTGACGTGACTATAGCCTCGTTATCAGAGGTAAACATCATGAGTTATCTTGATGTAATGTGCATCTCACTTCACTACTTGAAGAAAATGAACTCAGTTTGAAGACCAGGTAAAAACAAACTGGGAGTTACATATATTATCATTTACTGTAGAATAGCAGGACCTTAATACAGAAGCAGCTAAATAGAGTTCAGCCATTATCCTTTTTTTTTTCTTACTCGTGTGTTCTTTTACTGTTATATCTCAAAAACTGTTTCACCATTTTGCAACAGTTTCCACGTCACTTTTGCTCAAACAATTGGTGGGTGTGTCAGAGATGCTGCCCAATCAGCAGTGACCCTGCCGTATTAAATAGGCAGCGCACACATTGGATTCTTGTGCTGTCTACAAATGTGTCAGCTGCACCTAGATGTTTCCAATGAAATCATCTAAAGTGGCCTTCTCAGCTGCCATAGTTGCAACACTTGCGTATCACAACAGAGGATTCAAAGCACAAACCTTTACGTTGAACGCAGCCCTGTTCCAGCAGTGACCAGATGATTTATTTTACTGTCTCTCTGCTCACAGAGAAGTGTTACAAGCAGAGGCTCTTGCGAGGATGCAGGCCTCCAACCCTGCAAACTTTGGGCCAAAGAAGTACTGTCTGAGGGAGTGTATCTGTGAGGTGGACGGCCAGGTGCCGTGTCCTGGCACCACGCCGCTGCCAAAAGAGATGACGGGCAAATATCGAACACGGATGGCAGCGTCACAGGACTAAAAGGCCGGGATGGAGAGGACACTATTGATGATTTACTGGACAATATTATTATTCCTGTTTGATTTTGTACGATTACAGTAAAGGACTAACTTATTGCATATGGATGATGCCTGGATTCAGTGCCTGGACTCACACCATCCACTCCCAACAGAAATCCAGAACCAACACTCATCAGCATCGGGGCACTTAATGCTTTGGGTTCCTGTAGGTTTGCATATCTTGATATCAAACCTTGTGTTTGCATAATGTGACCTGGTCAAAGATTCCTTGCTGAATATTCCAGTGTAAACATTTAAATAAAACCCAGATCCGCCTGTGTGGCTGTAGTAATGAGCGTACTTTTTCCCTGCGTGCAAACAAAGAAAAAAAAATACAGAGGAATTATTAGTGAGTGACAGGATTGAGTTGAAAATGATCAGAAAAGGATCAAAGCATTTATAAAAGAAGGAGAAATACAACCATATTTTATTGTAGACAACTTTTTTTTATTGGTACTCAGATGGAATTTTCTAAAGTTAATACAGCGACATCTGCGCGTGTCCAGAGGTTTGCAGGTACTGTTTTTAGATACAGCAGTGTTAGTCAAAGTACTTCCAAAGCTAAAATCAACACATTGAGAAGCTGCTCCTCGATTTATTCACACTGTCAATAAATTTTTAGCGTCACGCGTTTTGCTCACAATCTCCTGATGAGCAGTGTGAGATTAACAGGCAACACAAACGCTTGTGTCTATGGAGAGAAATACGGACAGAGAGTGACAGGAAAGATTCACGTAAGGACAGATGTAGCAGCATTGAGTGAGTGATAATACTTGCTGGCATTCATGTAGTGTAAATAAGTCTAAAATGTAGCTCTGACAAAAGATTAAGTCACTACATTTTTGTACACACTGCAATTTTAGTGAATTCTTGTGCCTTGTTCGTTGACGTAAAAGTTGCCTACAATGTCTGTTAGAAAGTAGTGTTGAGTATTTACATGGTGAGTAACAAGCCGGCTGGAAACACTTTCACTGGACTTCTGAGATGAAACAGGCAAATGAATCACATGCTTTACATATAGATCTTATCCAACAGCAGGGAACAAGAGCGGCGTGTCAACTGCTCAATTTATCCAAATGTGCAAACAAAAAAACGAAAGCAGGAAGACAAGCTTGGCCACGAGCTCGATAGAAAGACCAGTATCAAACTGCACTTCAGAGATCACAAACACACGAATCATGCAACCCCTGATCCTCGCTTAGATGAGGAGCAGCCACTGTAAACATCGAGATCACAACCAGCAGGGGGCGCACAGTACAACATGGAAAAACTTTAGTTCACTTTGCTCACTGTGGCAAATAACGATGCAACTTTTAAAAATAAAGGTCTCATATGTCAAAGCTGACCGAGACACCGACCAGATGCACAAAACAGTTTAATCTGCTCGATCAGCTCTACCATGCAGAACAGGAACAGGCTCATATGATGAATTAAGTCGCCCTAAACAGTCTCAAAAGTCTAATTCAGTTTGTTTCTCATTAATGAAACAGATGGTATAGGAATAGTTCATGTTCCAGTTACAACAGTCGTGATTCAGTTCTTTGGCATAAATTAAATGAAGAGTAAGAATTTCAAAAACCACAAGTTGATTTTTTATATTATAGTTTCACTCGTCTGAGTGTATGTATATGTGGAAAGAAGTTGTTTAAAACATTATGTGGCTGCAGATAAAAAATAAGATGAAGAATGATCCTCAATGATCAATGGGCTGAAGACAAAAACAAATCTGGGAGATGGTAGAGTTTTAAAGAAATCGCCTTCCACACCTCCGTAGCCTGATCCTCATCTCTTTTCAAAGCTCCATTAGCATCACTGAGTGTAAGACATCCATATATCCAACTGGACTATGGAAAGCTGAGTTGCATTGTGGGTAATGCAAGCAATAGGTTTTGAAATGGAGGAAGCGTGTGGAAAAAAATAAAATTATCAGGTTATGGTTCATCAATTTTGAATCACCTTGAAATGATTAATTATGGATTTTGTGCATCGATCGATCCCATGGCAGGTTTATTCGACCGTTGCTATGGTAACATGTTATGTCATAACTTCTGGCTGAGGAAGCCAAATGACACATGCTGACTTCAACGAGACCATAGTCAGACACAACTCAAAAGACCAACCGTTCCCATTACAACAATCTTTAGAGTGGCACTCTTCCATCTTCCATTGTTCATGTTTGCACTTATGCGCCTGGATATCAGCAACGCCGCCTGTACAAATGGAATTTTACCTGTGGTGCTTAGAAACTGTGCATGCTGGGATTGGCTCCAGCCCTCTGACCCTGTGCAGGATAAGTGGTTTAGAAAGATGTTTGAAAATGAATCCTTCCAGACTACTTGTCTCTAGTACATGTAATTTCGGTACAAACCTAGTCTTTCTTGCAGACTTCACCCATACTAAACTCAGCGGGCTCATTAGTCATGTAAAGTGAACTAGCCTTGCAGGACTTGGTAAGTAGCAGGTGATCAGGGGGATTTTTCAGAAAAGGTGTCAGTGCTTCTTTTTCTTTTGTTCCTGTAGGGTGTGCTGTAGCTCTCTCAGATTCTCTGACAGGAGCTCCACCTCGTCAAGGCGGCCGCTGAGCTTGGCATCAAAAATGTAGGCCCTAATGTTGTCGATCTGCTGCAGCAGCAGTTCCTCCTCTATCATGTCCAAATCGGGCAAAACCTCATCGTCGTCTTCGCCTTCGAAGGGGTTGGTTGATACTCCTGGAGAATTCCCAGAGGCCTCCATGAAAGGGTTACCAGTGACGTCATCCTCCTCAAAGGGATTCCCAGGCACGGTGTCGGCCTCAGTGTCCCCCTCGACATCTTCATCAAACGGGTTGTATTCTTTCTTCCCGTTGGTTACGTCTTTGTGTTCCTTCTTAATGTCCTCTGAGAAAGGATTGTTGGGATCCTCCTCAGTGGGAGTAGAGTCCTCCTCATCAAAAGGGTTAAGGGAGGTGCTATTCTGTCCTTCACCACCAGGGGGAGTTATGTGTCCCCCTAAGCTCCTCAGACGAGGAGGCGACTCCTCCTGGCTTGTGAGTGCAGGAAACGCTCTTAGAGACGACGGGCTCCTCTCAGCTTTAGGAGTCAGCTCCTCTGCTGCTGTGTCTTGCTCTCCCTGGAAGCCGACCACTGGGCTGATATCTAGAGACCTCTCCGTGGTGAAGGACGGCTGAGTGGAGCTCACAGCAGGGCCCCAGTGTTCTCTTTCCTCCCGTTCCCAGGCCTCCAGGCGATGGAACTCCCCCTGCTGCAAGCTCTCCTCCTTAGCCAGCTTCTGGGAGAGAGCGATGGCCAGAGTGGTCTGCTGCTGGTCGTATTCGTCCTGCAGCTGACGCAGGTTCTCCTCTAACATGGCAACTTCGTCTGCTCTCTGGGCCTCTCGTGCTTGACGGAGGAACGACTGAATGTTCTCGATCTGCTGTAGGAGGGGGTCTTCCAGCTCGCTGCGTGTATGACCAGAGCCTGCGGAGGGCAACCAGCCTCCAGCTTTGGTCATGCGTGGTGCTCTAGGGGCTTGCGGCAGCTCCCCGTTGGAACTGATGGGTGGACGGTTTCTCTCAGACTCCTGCCTTCTCTTCAGGGTCTCCTGGGCTGCCTGTTGAGCAAGAAAGTAAAGTACAAACTCTCAGTACCTGTTTGACTGATGAAAAATCAAGACAGAAGTTTCAGTACATAATCTCACCTGTCTCTCTTGTTGGAGTCTCTTCTCTTGTTCTTGTTTCCTCTTTTCTTTCAGCTCTTCATATTTGTCCTTAGTCGGTAAAGACATGAGACCTAACAGCTTCTCCTGAAACAGGGATAACACAAAGAATGAGTGAATTCAGAGAAAAGACGGATCAAGGTCGAAATACAGTAGAATTATGTGTAAATGTAACAGAATGATTGGAATATACAGTGTGATTCTTTTGAGTTTGTAGATTTATTTCCTTGGGGGAAGTGATTTGTTTTCACTATTGTTTCTAATTGTTTAAACTTTGATTTCAGGAACACTGAATTTAAATAACAGCTAGAAAAAACTACCTACCACCTAACGATTTAGTATTTAGTGTGTGTGTGAATGTATGTTTCACACTCTCTGTACGTGGTCTCACCTGAACAAATAGTGTGGCTGTGTATCGGACCATCCTCTGCAGCTGGAGCGCCTTTGGACGTGGTTGTGGATCATCTTTAACTCCTAGTGTTAAAATCCTCTTACTGAAAATAAAACATAGTTAGTCTTGTAGAACCACATGATAAATAAATATATTAAATTGTAGAAACAGTAATTCAGGAAATGCTTGTACCTTAATGCATCGATGAGTTCATAGTATTTCTGTACTTCCAGTCTGAGTCCACCCGCAGTGTCAAGGTTGTATGTTGTTTCACCGGCACTGTTAAAAAATACAACAACAGTCCCTGAAAAAAAGGCTGATTAATAAAATTATCAAAATAACTACTTTATATGAGGCTTACTTGAGCGACTCAGCCATCCGGATATATTCTGGAGCCTTTTCATCCACTTTGTCCATGCACATCCTCAGCCTCTGGCAGGAAGACAAGTTTAGAGCAAGTGAACAACAGGAAACCCAACAGAAAAACACTGCATGGTGGGACGGATACATCAGAGTAAACTCAAGACTGCTTCAAAAAAACACTGGGACCTGAACAAGTGGCTGATGGTGAGTTCTGAAATAATCCTTTTCATCTTTTATTTACTAACCTCATAAAGTTTCACTATATCAGGCATGTGGTCCTTCTCCTCTAGTTTCTGCTGTCTCTTCAACAGCGTGTCCATACAGTGGTGGCAGCAGCGGATCTTCTCGTCGTCCTTTTCCTCCAGCATGGAGGTCACACTGCTCAGGCTGCTGATGCTTCCTCTCCTGGAGCCCATACCACTGCTGCCACCTCCTGCTGGGGGGGACTGGGAGTGACCGGGGCTCACGTGGACACACAGGGCTTCTCGTGTTCCATTAATGAGCTTTTCTGTGAAGAAAGGGCAAACAACTCACAGCAATGAGACACAAGTGGAAAATGTAACTACATCAAGATGTATGATGAGTTTCTGTAATATTTAGTTCATACATACGGGCTAAAGGTAACGGGACAAACTCCATGCACTTTCTACACATGATGGAGCCACAGAGACGACAGTGGTGCCGCCTGTTCCGAATGTTGAACTTGTTTCCACAGTCGGGACAAAACGGGACGTCTGAGTCGCTCACCCATGAAACTACAGACTTCTCAATGGCTATAAAGGAGGATGAACATTCATTAGTGTACGATAATAAATATTAACATACGCTGAGAGGACTCATGCATGCAGACAAACCTCTGATTTTGGCAGCATCTGAGTTCATCCTGTCAAACGATGTCAGCTGAAACGACAGTTTTCATGATAAATGAGACACACAGTGGAGCACATGTTCACGTCTCATATCAACAACCTCAGGAAGAACAAGATGTTTTCAGTGAGCTGTGATTTGCTACTGTAAACACACCTTCTCCAGTCTGATGATGAGCTTGTTGACCTCAATGACATAATGGTCTATCCTGGCTGCCCGGTGTTTTTTGAATAAATCCAGATGGCTTCTAGTTGCTCCTTCAAGAGGACAAAGAACAGTTATTGTCAGTAAATTATATAAGAACGCTGCTAAAGCTTCTTTTTATTTTCTACTGTTAATATCGTCTCACCCAGTTCCTGAGGCTCCCACATGTAAGGGTCCACTCCACCATAGTAGAAGGACTCATAACTGCCAGTATCCGGTCTGTCATCTCCATCCCTCTTCAAGAGCTTGTCTTTGGCTTTCTTTGCCTTTTGAACTAAACCTGTGCACAGACACATTGAGAGCGAATTGACTCCATGAAAAGAAAAAGCCGAAAAAGTTTTTAAACAGTGTTCACTAAAGGTGATTAATCTCTTATTTGAGCACAACTAATCATCCTTTTCCTTTTCCATATATTGTCACTCCCTGAAAAAAGTGCAGCAAAATATTCTGCCAGTTCATTCTGGCAACAGTTTACAATGGTGCAGTGACACTGTGCTGCAGTGTCCTTGGATCTATGTTAATCAGCCACAACACAGACCCACATTCATCATTAGAGAACATTAAACTCGGTGACTGTTTAATCTTGTGGCAGAATTAGACCGTGCAATTACTTTTTCACAATATATGAGACTCACTTTTGAGCTGCCCCCTCACGTGGCGCTCATCCCCGGAGTGCTCCTCTTCGTAGTGGTCTTGGAGTTGGTAGAACGACTGAAGGTCTTTCAGGCACAGAGGGCAAAGAAAGCCCTCCTTCACCTCACCTGTGCCCTCAAAGGGGGGAGGGTAGCTGGAGGCCATGGCAGCGGTCGGCTGGGTTGTTAGAGAAGAGATGCAAGGTGGGAGGATCCTGCTTTGGCCCCCATGTCACAGGGTGTGCAACCCACCCCATAGTAGCTCCATCACGCCACAGAAAATCCCGGGACTCTGAAGATCGAGATAAATAGATTGAGACAACATAAACTGAACTAATCGTAGGACTGGATGAAATGGACAAAAACAAGAAGACAAACTCAATGTCAGTATATTAGACCTATATTATATTGCTATTGATAAAGTGTATATAGAGATAACGTTTATTGCCGAGTCCTAACAGGATCCATAAATGACATGCAGTTCATTTAGGTATTTAATATTTGTGCTCACTTTCCCAAAGATCCAAAACAGATTTAAACTTTGATTGGGAGCTTTTGGACTTTAATGCCAAACCATAAAAAACACGTCAATATATAGACACTGACAATTATACTAAAATATGAGGGGCACTTTTAAATATGAAGGCATGTGAAAATAGAAATACATAAAACGTATTTCTTATGAAATACTTTTACACCTTTGACACCACACAAACCATGTGATGATGTAATAACTATGTTCAAATTGAATCCAGTGCACAGAAAGCTGCATCGCTTTTATTTTGGATAATAGCGAACAAGCAGACATCACAGCAGCTTTAAGACCAATCATGCACATCCAACATGTTTCAGTGACTTGATTTTGATCCATATTCCTCCATTAAAATGAACTTATATCAGGTTTTAAGGCGGCTAACGTCAGCTAGCAGTTAACACACATTGACAACTCGTTGTATCTACACAAACACAACTACACAGGCAGATATAGTGCTGTGTCTTTTGTTGTGTGTGATGTGTAAATATGAAGTGATAGTTAATATTTATGTAACGTTAGCCGCCGTGCTACTGGACAACAATGTGACGTTAGCAGGACCATGCTAGCAGCAGCTCTCGCTTTCTGTAGCCATCGTTTCTTCAGTTTCTCTGCGGACACAAACAACTTCCGGCTCCACAAAACTAAAACCCACGGAGTTAACAACGCCACGGATCATTTGTACTCACAAACGTGTCCCACAGTCGCTGTGTTGTTGTGAGTTTGGTTTGTGTGACAGCTCGAGCTCCAGCTGCAGCAGCAGCAGCCTGGTCATGTGACCACACTCCCGTCTGTACGTGACGAGACGAGGGACAAACCAAACGAAACGCACAACAACATGTCCCCACCACCAGCACAGCTACACTGGATCAAACTGTGCCTGATCACCTCCATCGCTGGATTCTGTCAGCCACTTGTGACATGTGAGTGTTCAATACTTTCCTTATTTGATAGTGAAGCAGTTTGAGTTGGTTGCAAGCTGTGTCTCAATTCAGAGGCCTGCATCCTTCAGAGGCTGCATCTGAACATCCATTGTGTCGCAGTCGACAAATGCGTCCTTCCTTCCCAGGTTGCTGTCTCTTTTGGACGTCCAAGCACTCATCGTCCTCCTCTCTCCTCCCTGGATGCTGCCGCTTCTCCAAAATCTTCACTGTATCTCTCACTCATTCTGCCTGAGAGGAAAATACCACATTATATTAGCTAGATATCAGCCCCAAGACTTTGAGTTTCCTACCTCCCTACTGTAAATATGGGTTGTCCTGTTTGGTGTTTCACATTCCACAAACATATCAAACTGGAGGGATATTCTTTCCCATTTTCATGTTGTAAGACACAATTTAAAACATAATGTATAACCTTATTTACAACTTTATTTATCATTATCAAACTGGAAACATCCAAGCGCATGCGTAAAGGTCAGAACCGCTTGGAGCACAAAACCTAAATGTCTATGAAGAGATAGTAGGAAAATAATCACTGACAGAAATTAAACTGAAAATCAAATATTTTAAACATTATGACACTAATTAGCATAACATTTATTCTGGCGTCTCCTGCAAAAAAAACACTCCAACAGGTGCATCCTTCTCAAGCCAACCTATCCCAGGATTCATTGCACTGTGGTGATAAACTGTCGACAGCAGCAAGCGACAAGACCAAAATGTCAGATGCTTACACTTTCCAATGTAAGCTTCAGCCTAAAAGTACGCAGGATTTAAAAAAAAGCAAGGGCTAAATATCTCATAGTGTCCAACTAAAGCTCTGTTGCTAGGCGACAGCGTTAAGGGCAGGACAATCTGGTGATGCAAATCACATAAATCCTCCACAGGCCTGACCAGTTCATTTCGGTTTGGCCTTTGCATGCTAAGCAACCTGTGAATGCCGATGGGGACACAGCTACAGACTGTATATAAAGATGGATGATATATGACTGCTAAGTGAAGCCAAAGTATCTCCATCGCCACCTGTTGTTTGGCAGCAGTAGGCCTATAGACTATAATTCTCCCTCCTCCTCCTCCTCCTCCATGTGAGCAGATGGGACATGGGCCAAACTAAAAAGTCAGTTTTTTTAGAGATGGTTTCTGTCATATAAGGTTGTTCTTACCACACTGATGGTCAAGTGTGAATGTTTTCCAGCAAGTTTGGTTTTAAACAGCTGAGACATGCCTCACGATTAGTCAAGCAAGTGTAAATACCAGACCTCGCTACCGTGGCTACATCTTCTGATCACTACTGCAGATTCTGGCGAGAGCTTGCTGAAAGCAAATATTTTGGTCTGTGTTAAGTTAGTGGGCATATTTTGAAAACTGCCTGAAGGACTCAAGTTAATTGTGTCTCAGTTGATTTGAGAGATTTGAATTCATTGCAAGTTTGTCCTGGAATATGAATCACGATATGACATGAGATAATAAGATTCTTAAAGTCAGCCCTGAATTATTCTGTAGTATTGCATAAATAGTTTTCTTCGCCCAAAGCTCTGGGGCTCTGGAGGAAAAACATGATGCCCCAGTGCACTTAAGTTAATGGCCACAAGACAGTTTGATATAGGATAATCTCAACTGTCTGAGTCTGAGGGATCAGGGCCATACATCTGAAGAGTTACTTAAAAGTTGAGGTAAATGCTCTGTATGTTCTGTAGCAAAATAATTCTAAAATCTTGCTTCTTTGTGGCAAAATCAGTGCTTTTACTCAAATAGGCTTTGAAAAGTGATTTATATTAAACAGGCTGACAAATCAGTCCTTGATTTAACTGCTCAAAAAAAACCTTGTGTCCTCATTAAGACCAAAACCTGTGATTAGTGCTCGCAAGTACAGATTTTGCTCCATTTTTCAGAGTTAATAAAACACAACATCTGGAAATCACTGAACTTAAGTTTTGACAGTCACCCAAGTGTGTTTGAGACATTTTGTGATCTCTTCCTCCTCCTCCCCCTCTGTGTGTGTGTGTGTTTCAGTGGAGTATCTCCACCATTAGATCTCCATCTCTATCACACATAGTTCATGAATAATCTGCATATTGATCAGGCCTGTGGACAGCTGCTCTGGAGTCTGATGGAAGAAGCCCAATTAAACAGAGAGGAGGATACCTTACACTCTCTGTCTTCTTACTCAACTGCATTAATCATTCTCACTGAGGTAAAGTCAGGGCCATTGTTTTGTTGGGTTGAATCAGTAGTTTAAAAGATTTTGCACATGCTGTAAACAAAGCAAATAATACATTTTGACCAATGCACTTTATTGTCCAACAAAAACATTGGTGGTAGTTTATTTCCAATTTACAACATTAGGTTAAATAAACATAATCCATGCAAGGATATGTAGAAAAATAATAAATGACACAATTTATTTGCTGTGGTATTCGTTATATTTTACATAAGTACAAAAGAATGTCGCAAATCAGTGAGTGAATGAGGTTTCTATGCATTAAGTGTGAACGCAGCCACTTTGATTGGATTCAGGCATAAACTGTACTGACAAGCGTCTGTTGCCTCACAGAGGCGACAATGCAAAAGCCAGTAGAATAATGCTTTCATCTTGGACTTGACTTCGTCATCAACAGAAAATATACTAAATAATGCTAATTATTATATAACTATAATTAATTATTAAAGTTTAACATAGGACTGGCCCTCTTGTGAGAACTCCTTATAATTTATCTTACTGACAGTGATGTCGATAACAAATTATGCACAACCTCCCCAAGTAAATAAACAGCAGATTCATGTTTTGCAGTGATGATACAGTAATTTGCCAAACGAATAAAACAGCTGCACAAAATGTTAAATGATGTAATTTCTTTTTTCCAACTTTAATAATCCATTATGGTCACTTAATTTGCACATTGATTTGTTTACAATACATCATTTTACGCACAGCAGCGGTTGTTTTCTTTACTCTCTACTCTCCTGTCTCTAGATCCTGCTCTGGTGCAAACCTTTTCCCCGGGTGTTGTCTCTTCTCCTCGGCGTGACTCTTGTTGATGTTGTCTAAAAAGTCGAGTAGCAGATTGGTCTTGCTGCAGCTCGTAGGGTCCAAAACATCGCACGGACTGTTTGTGCCCAAATCCGGACTTGCGTTATCCCAAAACCGTTTCCCGGGGTGTTGACGCTTCTCCAACCCAGTGAGGTCTTCGTCTCCGTCCGCGTCCCAGTCCACGTCGGCGTCCTCGCCCTCTCCGTGGCGTTTACCTGGGTGCTGGCGTTTGCTGTGCACCACCAGGTAGCGCTTGCCAGGGTGCTGTCGTTTAGAAAGTTCACTCTCCAGGAGAACCACGGGCTCGTCAGAAATGTAACCCATGGTTGAGCGCTTCCCCGGGTGCTGCCTTTTCTCGAACTCCGAGAACGGGTGCGTTTCATCGTCGCGTTTTCCCGGGTGCTGTCTCTTTTGAAGGTCCAAGTACTCATCGCCCTCGTCCTCTTCTCTCCTCCCCGGATGCTGTCGCTTCTCCAAATCGTTGCTGTATCTCTTACCGGGATGTTGTCTTTTTGTCATCCATTCAGGCTGAGAGGAAAATCCTTCTGAAAGAAAAATAAACATTATATTAGCCACTTCAAGAAGCCTCACGACTGTGAGTTTCCTATCCCTGGACTGTAAATATGGGTTTCCCCGTGCGTAAATTGCGCACAAATCGGTGTGGTGGTTCACATTCCACGCAACATATCAAACTGGAGGTCTATTCGTTTTCTTTTACATGTTGTAAAACACAATTTAAAACATAATTTATAACCTTATCCATAACTTTATTTGTAATGATCAAACTAGAAACATCCAAACGTATGCGTAAAGGTCAGACCTACTTCTAGCAGAAAACCTAAATGTCTACAAAGATATAGAAAGAATATAATCACTGACAGAAATTAAACTAAAAATCAAAATCTTTTTTAAACGTCATGACACCAATTAGCATAAAACTAATTCCGGCGTCTCCTGTAAAATTGATCCAAGATGTAGCCCATGCACATTTTACGCACCGTTTCTGTCGTCTTCCTCCTGCATCTTTTTGAGGATGGAGCGTATCAGCAGACTCCCTGCTCTCTGTAGAAGGATATCGTCTATGGTCCTCCGGTCTGTGTCATCGTCAGCGGGGATGCCCTGTCCTCCAGACACCGCCAAGTTGCAGAGCACGAGAGAAGCCAGGAGGAGAAGGCATATCGACTTCATGGTAAATTGGATGATCGTCTGTGGAGGAATCAGATTGCAGGACAAGATTTTAATAAGTGATTTAGAAACAGACGGCTAAACTACAGATTTGATATTAAGATCCAACGTCTTATTTATTTTTTTGAATAAATGTACATCAACCACAGATCATTTATACAACCGCAGATTATTGTGGGCAGCAACTGTCCTTTATTTCTGATATACATTTTAAAACCCTAAAGCTGCAGCAGTTTAAACTTGTTTCACGGAAAGAGACTAAACTGAAGTTAAATAACGAGTTACAATAGAGCCACCTAGACACGATCAAGCAGAAGTTACTTACTTTTAAAAAGAATTTGCTCTGAATCGCACCAGTCTTACCTGAATGATCCAATTTCTGCTCGTCGTCGATCACCGTTGTGCGCACAGTGATGCTGGTTTTGCTCTCAGCCTCTCGCAGCGGTTGATGACCCGTAAAGGCCAAGTCTGGAGGTATGAGCAGACAACTTTCCGTCCCAGCATTTATACCCACCGCTCACTGTCGTCACACCGACGCTGAAGTCATTTTTCAGGATCCCTCGTCCCCCATTGATGTCAGCAAGTCGTGCGCAACTGATGTGGTGAATGAGCTGCTGCCCAATTTGTCATTTGAAAAACAAATAAAGGGCTGAGTGTGAGATAGACAGCTGGCTCCACTACACATTGACTGGATAAGATGAATTCATTCATAGAAATTAAGTGTAGG